GAGGGAGTGTGGGGTGTGCATGGGGGGTGTCAGTGCATGTGTATGACTGTGTGAGGGGGGTGTGGGTATGTGTGTATGGTGGGATGTGGGACCCCCCCACAAACATCCCCCCCACTACGTGCCCCTCGCTCACTGCACACAGCCCCTGCCACCAGCAGCAACAGCAGGTGGCGAGGCCTTGGGGCGCTCATGGCCCACAGCAGGCAGAGAGCCTCTGAGGTGTGTGGTCCCAGCAAGCCCCGGGGCTGCACGTGGCTGAGCCGCCAGCAGGGAGAGGGATGGAGCTGGGTCAGCTCCATACAGCCCCTGCCAGCCCGGGCTCCACGCTCCTGCCACCCTGCCCTGGGCCCCTGCCAGCCCTGGCCCCAGAGCACTGGCATGGGCTCTGCACTCCTGCCCATCCACTTGCTGCCACTTGCCACCACTGCCCTGCTCCTACCACTTCCCTTCCTTCCTGCCTGCTTCTCCAGCAGTGCATGGTTCCTGGCTGCATGGCCAGGACAGAAAGCAGTAGGAGCCGGCCTCACCCCTGTGGTTCCAGCTGGTTCCTGCTGCCGCTGGCCCTAGCTCTGGGGCACTGTGCTCCTGCCTGCCCACTGCCACTCCCCCCCACTCACTTCCCTTCCTTTGCTGCCATCGCACCCCCACCCCCCCACTGTCGTTTGGGCAGCACACAGTTCCTGGCTACATGGCCAGAACTGCAGGATGCTGCAGGAGCCAGCCAGGAACCATGGGGGCTAGGCCAGGCCAGTCTGGCTGCTGCTGCGTCCTGTGGTTCCGGCCATGCAGCCAGGAACCTCATGATGCCAGTCAGGCTGGTGATCCCTACCCCCCTCCCTTGACCCATTCTCATCTGAGTTTGCTTTCTCAGATGGAGGGATGGTGAGGAAACAGCCTCAGGGTTGCCAGGCCAGAAGCCTCTGCTAGGCAGAAGCTTCCAGCTGGGGGTTGGGGGAGGGCTAGGCAGGACTTGCTGCTGCCACTGTTGGGTCCTGACCCCTCCTCCTGGGTCCTGCTGCCACTGGCATGTTGTCATCTTTGACAGGCACTCACAGGCAGATGATAATTCATTTTCTAAATTTTTTAGGGGCCCTGCAGGCCAGATAGAATGGCCTGGCAGGCTGCCCGTTCTACAGTATCTTGTGATGCTGATCAGTTATTTCTTTATAGTCATTTGTTTTTGTTTTTTTTTAACTAGTAATACTTCTGTCATGCTCTGAAGATTACTGGAAGCAGATGTGGTGCTGCCTTTCTAATAAGTAAAATGGGCAGTCAGTATAAGACAATAATCATATTGTTTTCCTTGTGTGTCTTTAAACTGAAGAGAAGTCCACTGGAGCATGTGCAATAATTTAAGGTAAAATAATACCAATTAAAGTGATCTGGAGATATACACAGTGAAGTGGATTGTGTCTTCATTACACTGCTTGGGGATGCTTGGTAATGCAGGTTGAACAGGGATGGCACTTAGGGTGAGCATGAACGAAGAAATGCCTTGAAAAATTAAGGTGCTAAAGAAGAAAGCAAAAATAATTAAATCAGGATTTTTCACATTACTTTTCATAACCCATCCTAGTGCCATAGGAAGCCATTCTTAGAGCCTTCATTCACCCTGTGATTGTACAGGCTCTAGCATAATCCAAACAGACTTTGAAGAAAAGTTTTCTTGTACTGAAAATTAAGGGAAAATCATATATAGCCAACTTGAGAGGAAGCAGAAGTGCTTATCTGAAGCTTGCAACATAGCTGATACATGTCTGCCAGATGTTTGAAAGCACCCCTTCTGAACTTCATGCCATGAAATCATGCTTTGATTTCTGCAGTGACCCTGTTCATATGTGACCTTATACTTTGCTGCCTCTGCTAAATACTGTAGGTCTAAACAGCTCCTTTTTCATATTTTAAGACTACTTCAGGTCACAAACCACAGAGCATCATTGTCCCTACCATACAGCCAAGGGATTTGGACAGAGATGCTGCCCTATAATACTAATGCTGGGGAGGGGAGGAGGAAGGACTCTCTTTGCCCCTCCATGTGCCAACTGAGTTTCAGAGGTAGAATCAAGGGCCTAGAAGAAGAGGCACATCCCATCCCCTTTTGTCTTCAGTGTGTACCACTGGTGCCAACTTCCTACTGCTGGACCCTAACAAGCCTCAGCATCAAGTACCAAGATTGCATATCAATCACAGCTCTCAAACAGAGCATCCAGCATATTTGGTGGGCACCTGGGAACAGTATGTTGGATTGGGGAAGAGGTGGTGGTATGTGGCATCTACTCAGGCCTGATCACTGCCTTGGATGTGAGGGGCTTCTATTCTGCAGCACTGCCCACAGATCACCTTGCAGGTAAAAAGCCAAGGCCACATTTCTTCAGCACAGCACCTGCAATAGGCATCCAGGGCCACACAGGAGCCCACAGCACTCACCTGCTGCCACCAAAAGTGCTGGAAAGGAAGGTGGGAGAGAACAGGGAGTGGCACTTGTATGCTAGATCGTAGCTGAGTATCAGTCAGTCTTGTTCCTCTGTGCTCCAGGGCAGATGCTAGCCTGAAGAGGTACAGGCTAACATATGAAAAGAGCAGCAAACATGCTGGCCCCTGTCCAAGCCTCTCTATACCCACAAAGGACAGTGAAGGGTCATGGCTCTGCCTTCTGACACTGCACCCCTACATGGGCTGGAACAAAGGCCCAGAAGCAGCTCAGAGAAAGGAGGGTCTTTTCTCCTGCTCTAGGGAGGGCAGCAGCTGCAGAGCAAGTCACGGACCAGACCCTTGCAGCCTGAGGCCCTACGTAGCAGGGAGCAGCAGAGGCCATAGACTGTATCAGAGCTGGCATCCAGCCTGTTGTGGGGCAAGACAGCTGGGCTCTCATGGCTGGGTCAGCGCTGCACACACCACAGGACAGATGTTCACTAGATGTTGCCACACTCACAACTCTCCTCCTTCAGCAGGGTCCTGTCCTTGCTACAGGGCTGAAAACGATCCTGACTTCAGGAGGAAATAGAAGTAGGAGTTGCTGAGGCATGCAGTCAGGTGGTACCTCCTAGTCCAGCCAAGTGGCAAGTGACCAAAGTAGAGATGCTATCTTCTCCCTCCCCTGACTACGCAGGTCTTCCAGGGCACAGCACTCACTCGTTTAGAAAAAACAGTTTATTTATCACACATAGGAAACAACATCACATCACCAGCACAGCTTGCACCGGCTCTGCGCAAGAAAACAAGTTTGACTCCATTAATGCTTGAAACAGGTTGCCGCCCCTTCTCTGGCTCATGCTGCCAGCTGGTCTGGAGTCTCTGCACTTCTGTTTGCTAAGTGCGATTCAATGATTTCGGCAAATAAATTCCTCTTCAGCAGAGTGTAGGCAAGAGGCAGCAGCTGTCCGACCACCTTGTGGAAATACTGCAAAGTGACAGGAAACAGCAGAGTTGGACAGAGCAAAGGGACAACTACTTCTTGTGAAGTCTGAGCACAGTCCATTAAATATGCTGTTCAAGTTCATCAAATCTGGCAAAACAATAGGCAGGACCAACCCTTTCTCTAGCTGGAGACTATTACAGAAGTCCCAAGAACCAAGCAATGTTTTCCATGTTCCTTTGGATTCAATATTTCAGCTCTCATCCCAATGCAAGTACAGCGTTCAACACAAGCTCAATTAGTATCATGCATGACAAAGTGGTATTATCTCCCTTTAGCAATGATACACTTCAAATTAATGTTTAGCTGACAGTAGCTATAAAATTGAGGCTCTGAACACACAAGGAAGCAGATCATGTATAGTAAGAGATTAGGGGGTGGGGGAGAAGATTAAGTCAAACTGTATTAAAGGTTTTTAAAAATATATATTTTAGACAATCAATTACAAAATCCTTGAATCCTAAAAATCAAGCATTGTTCTATGCTGAAATGAGGGGACAACTTTTAATATTAAAGAATGTATTATGTCAAGTAAGGTTTTGGTTGTAGCCATGTTGGTCTAAGGGACATAGACAAGCAAGGTTCTTTGGGTAGTTGGTCTCATAAAAGATATCACAACTGAGTAGTTGGAACAAAGTTCTTCGAAGCTTTTAGGCACAAGCACCCTTCATCAGGCATAGGGAGACTGCTGTCGTTCTGAGATCTCCAAGGAACGAAGAAGGGTGCTTGCGCCTGGAAACTTGCAAAAAACTTTGTTCCAACTGCTCATCTGGTTTAATAAGTTCTTTGGGTAGATGTGATCTTTTAGGCCAAGAATAGTATTTAATCTATAAAGAACTATCCTAGAAAGTTCCAAAAAGTTTCATCTTCCCTAAACTCCATGGAGAATTTGCATTCAAAATGACAACACAGAGAAATCAAAAAACCCAAACCAATTACAATTTGTTTACCTCAATCAGTAATGTGCAAGTGTACACCATGCAACTAAAACATGTAGCTGCTTATTTTGTACTAGATAGATTGTTGTCATCACATCATGCTGCACAGATTTGAGGGAAGATAAAATTCTCCAGTCCAGTAAGGACTGCAGTAACAGCAAACATGTTCTTTCTTTTACCACTTTGATACATTATGTAAATCCACACCAGTTAAAAGAAAAGGTACCTGGCTGCATGGTTAAACACTTCCATTACTGCTGCTTTACAGAAATTAAACAATGGGTTACTTAAGCGTGAATGGAAAGTGGAAGCTAATAGTGTTGTTCTGTATCTTGATGTAGTAATTACAGCTTCTGGCAGGTAGGGGCACACTATTTGAAGAACCAGGTATAGAATAAGTGAATTAATGTTTGTGCACGGAGACAATAAATGGATGTAGACCAACCATGAGACTACACAGACATCGTCTAGTTTTTTAAGTTTAAAATGGGCAAAGTGTCCTTTCTCCCACCCATCTTTTACCGAAAAATTAAAGTCCTCTATCACTCCATTTTTTCTGCCCACCTCCAACAAATGTAATATTTCACAGCATCAGGTTTTCTAAAAATGGCCGAATATGGACTCCTCATGGTACTGTAAGCATTTGCAAAGTGTTATCATTCGAGAAGATAATACCCACTGTGAATCACTTCATGAAAAGCATTAAAATTGCGTAAAGCATGAATGCTTAAAGTATAATGGATTTTAGGCTGTTTGGGGTTTTTATTGCTAGCTTGGCTGATTTGAGGGGGACAGGCACCCTACTGCACTGTGTCATGTGTTTAGTACCCCTGCTCTGTGCAAGTCTATCCATGTAGCATCTGATGAAGCAGGCTGCAGCCTATGAAAACCAATACCTCTGAACAAGTTAGCCCATAACAGTATTTCAAAACCAGGGTGCCACAGTGCATACCTTGCAGGTCTAATTCTCTAAAGCAAACACCTAAAGCATGATTCCCCAAGATAAAGCCAAAGATGTCAAATAGGAATCCAGTGTCAAACACATTCTGACTCATTATGGTCTTTGAGTTCTTTGCTACAGAAGGATCTTTTATTTTTCTATAGTGAAAGCTAAAAGCTGGCATTTTCTAAGGGTTACCTTGAGTCTAAAAAGACCGAGAATCCACTGGTCTATAAAGGCTAAGTACAGACAGTCAAAAAGCCCAAGGCTGAATCGATTCATTCTTTGTAAGTTAGTCTAAACTGTGTAGATAAAACCGAAAAGCAAGTGAACAGACACTCCAGAAATGCTGCCACATGCCTGCAGTGGCTCAGGAAAGAACCTGGGGATGCTAAAGCAAGCCTTCCCTTCCCTTCAGCAGTGGTGAAAGGAAGCTGGGAGAAAAGAAGTCCTCCAGGCTTTTCCCTACTCCCTGCATGTGCTGGGAGGCCTGTTGAGTATGACTGGGGAGGGCGATTTAAATCTCCACCTTGGCCTGCAGGTACCCCAGCCAAGGTATCTCCTGGGAGTGGGGTGGGAAAGGGAAGCAGCCCCTGCTAGGCTTTTACATTGCTCCCCACTGGAGCAGGAGTGGGGGGGGCGGGGTGTCAGACTCCAGCCCAGGCCAGCAAGCTAGGAGGGGAGGGGGGACTTAAACCCCACCCCAATTGCCTGCATGGGACCCCAGCAGGGATCTGCTTGGCAGAGGGGCAGCAGCTGCTGCCAAGCTTTTCCCTTCAGCTCAAGTGGAGGGGGTGTGATGCTGGCCCCAGGCCTGCATGCTGAGGCAAAGGGGAGGAAGAGTGGTTTAAACTCCTCTCCCTCCTTCAGCCCCTGCCAGGCAGACCCCGGCTGGGGTCTTGAGCCGGGGGAGGGGGCTTAAAGTGCCCTCTCCCTCTCTGCCTCACTCTGCCTGCCTGGCCTCAGGGTCTGGCCACCCCCCTTCCTTTGCTCCAGTGGTAGGGGGGGGAATAGGCAGGAAAGGGCTGCACCACCCCTGGCTAGCAGACCTGGCTGTGGTCTGGAGCCAGGTTTCCTACTCACTTCTCAGCAGTGATAGTGCTCCGTCTAGGGAGCAGAGGGGCAGGGCCAAGCCTGCTCTCTACAAAGCACCCTGGGATACTGAGTTAACTTGAACCAGGAAGGGATCTGGGACAGAAGTTCCATAAACTGGTTTGACCTAAATCTGTTAAGTCTGATACTACATCCAACCAGGTTTTGTCTTAAACCAGTTTCAGCCATTTTGAAACTGGTTTATGTGCACTGAACTTCTGTTCTGTTACAGGTTTAAACCAGTTTCTGATCACTTAAATCAGTTTACATAAAACTTCTGTCCATAGCCTAAAAAGGTGCCAACCTGCTTCACCTCAGGAGCCCAACCTGTCTAGTATTAGACTACCACGGCAAACTAACTAGCTCTGTCAAATCAAAGAACAGAGAAACCAAAAAAATAACCCCCCAAAAACCCTGTTCAATTCTTAACAAAAATGTTCACATTTTCCCCTCACTTTCACAATGTTACCTTTTGCATCTCATCATGCAAACAAATGAAATTGACTGTGTGATTTAAAATATATATTCCTAGAACTAGAACCATTCTAGTACTTACATGTGACCCAAAGCAAAAGAGGTCCATTCCCAGTTCATATCCCATTCCATAGTCACATTCGTCATTTGCAAACTGAACAAAAGTGATCATTTCCTGAATGGGAGCAAAGGCTTTCAGTCTCGCCTCATCGCTAGGAGCATCCACAATTGCCTTACAAATTCTTTTAAGATTAGCTGCAACAAAACATTTAAAACTGGTATTTAATTTACATTTGTATACTAAGTAGACAATAGGTCACAGGAAGTACGCGGATCCCTTTCACTGAAAGCAGCACAAAAAAGAGTTTGAAGACGCAAGGAATTCTTGGATGCAGGGTCACAGGAAGAAAAAAAACTGATGGTTCTGATAGCATGGGTAGAAGTGGCTGAAAACCCATGCTCCAGAGTCTGCAGGTGCTGCTCCTTCAATTACTCCCAAGAACTGGACACATTTGAAGTGGCTGCTGCCTCAGGACTCTTTAATACATTTTGTCATGTTAATGACATAACTGAATCCTTACAATGGAGTTTGTATAATCAGACAAAAATGGAGCACGTCTCAGTGCCAATACAGACGAAAACCAGGTAACCAGATTTAATTGAATTTACTGTTTCACTGGACTCTTTCATTGTCTATTTAAAAAAAAGTTCACAAATCAAATATACCTATGCAAAATGTATTCTAACAGTAGAAGACTGTACACTTCTCATGCTATTATTGAAGCAGTGTGAATGCAGTCTATATTTTGCAGCTCAGCAGAAGCTTAAAACCTAAAGCAAAAGAATGTGCTTAAGTTAAATCTCAACAAGGATATTTTTACTTTAAAAAAAAAATTAAGATAAATTACCATTTGTTTCAGGGAGCTCTCTGTACCCAACATCATTTTTGTCTACAGGAACAACAAGACCTGCTCCGTGAAATGTCTTGGTCACTACCTGGGGGGAAAAGAAAAGGGGTGGGGGCAGTGGTGGGAAAGAAAGATGCATCACCTTCACAAAACAGCAAAGACCAAATACACAAAAATACCACCAGCTTACACCTGATAGCAACATGCTGACAGTGTTCCACTATTCATTCATTATCTTCTGAATGACCTTTTGCCCTGAGCACCTTTATGGCCAGAAATAAAGGTGCACAGAGGTTAGCTGGCAAGAATGACTATCAAATTTCAAACATCACAAGTAAATGGAAATATTAGAGTGATTAAACTTTTCAAAATGCATGCTGTTGAGGGATACTTACATTGCACTGCAAGACCACTGATAATTTAGAGATAGAACAAATTGTAGTTTTCTTTCTGACTGGCTATGCAAACAACATATTGCTATTGGCTCTTTTGGATGTTAAAGGTAGTAACAAAATCACCAGGTCCAGCATTTCCGTGTATATGGAGCTATACTCGCTTTTTTATCTATAATGAATTAGGTAATATTAAACACTTCTTGCATGTTTTCTCTAGATGCAGCTCATGTCCAATTTGGCTATTTTACAGCAGAAGGCACAAGTTAGCAAGAAGTTGCTTTACATCAGTCTGCGCAGGCACTGTCATTGTACATGTGATGACTTAGACCAGTGGATCATAATTCACTGCCTTTGTCTTAAGTGCTAAGAACAAAATGAATAACAAGGTGAGGATTTGCTTGTAATATCCTCAAATTAGCACTACCCTGGCTTTGAACTGACCCAAACCTAAGTTTTATTTGTTCCATTCAAGGTTTTATCTATACTACATTTTTGGACCCAAACCACCTGTGAGGGATAGGCACTTGAAATGTTTAATGTTAAAATATACTTAAAAAATTTGTTATTGTTGAAATTATCCTCGGGGAATTTCTTTTCCTTTACATTTAATCTCCTCTACCTGTATCCAGATATGATATCCTTTATTGGAAAGCCTGGGTAATTATACCTCCTAAGACTGTTTACTCTCTCAAAAATAAAAAGGTGCTTAATACACAAAAATACCCCCTCCCCACCTAACACCCGATACACCGTCAGCTGGTTGCATCCACTAGTCACTGACCTGTAAATTTAAGTGAGGCTAGATCAGACTGCCTTTAAGTACCAAGAGAGACTTCTGAAAAAAAAAAAAAAAAGTGCAATTCATGATACAGCACAACCTGGATACTTCACAGGCGTAGGTTCCTAACCCCCTGTGAAGCTGAAGGTTTGTGAACTAAGGCCACACAGCCACAAAATGCAGCTACAGAGGATGACAGAGGATGCTTTGGCTGTTAAATGCAGCTCTTATTTCTAAAGACAGGTGCTATTTCTCCTGTCTGCCATGCAGAACCACAACTGTGCTACAGAAGATCAGAGAAGCAGCACCCTTGGAAATAAGAAGTGACAGCAAGTTGCTCTGCTGAATGCTCTTAATTTAGCAACCTGCTGCAAATTAAACAGGATATGAACCATCTGGTTACAAATGTTTCAGTGTTTACTAGGTTCCTTGGGTGAATTTGATATCTTTTATTAGACCAACCCAAAATAGTGTTTACTATTCCTTTACTTTTACAAGATTCCTGTACTGGTAGTGGATACAATATGCAAGATAAAAGCTTTATATTAATACAGTTAGCAGTAGTTGAACATTATCTAGCTTTTCTGGAGTAGCTGGAAGACTGATCCAAATGTAGATAATCTTT